TGCTGTGAAACATGCATGCATGGGCCTGAAGGAAGCTGTGGGACAAGTGCTTCAATGAGGGCATGGGAGGTGAGGGACTGTGCTTGCAGGAAGGAGCCTGAAACCCGTCCCCTCCAGCTCTGCCTCCAAGCAGCTCTTGCTGAGTTTTGACCCCATTTTCCTATCCCCTATTCTCCATGCAGTCCTGCATCCTCGTGTCTCCCAGCTGAGCAGCTCCTCTCCTGCCTGCACCCATCTTGTCCCAGAGTCCCCACTGCACACCAAGGCCCCAGATGTCAGCACTGGGAGCTGCAGAGAAGGGACACCTTGGCTCCTTCTTGGTATTGGTGTGGGATGGCTAAAACCCATAGTGCAAGCTGGGGATGGTTGTGGGTGGGGGCCAGCCATGCTGAGACCCCATCCCCACCTGGCCCACAGCTGGATGCCCCCATGCACAATGTCCCTGCTCAGGGCTGTCTCCTGGGATGGCGCATTGAGACAGAAGATCCAGCACAGGGATGGGTGGGCATGGGTGCAGAGTGCCAGGCATGGCCACCCCTGGTCGTCTGCATGGCCTCAGCCATCCTCAGATCTCAGGCAGTTTTCCATGACACATCTGCCAGGGCAATGCCAGTAGGTAGGGGAACTCTTGGGTGGCAGGGCAAAGGGAACAGCAGCTCCGTCGCAGGACACATGGCCCCATATGGCAGTCATAGAGCAGCTCTCCCAGCTCTGCTCTCTGGCTTCCCTCTCAAATACAGAGCAGCAACATCAGCTGGTGCATTCTGAACCAATCCTTTATAACTCGCCTCCACAGGACCAATACCCACCAAGGTGCCTCGAGAGGGGGCACTGTAATCACTTGGGATGTGCCCATGTGGCCAGCACCACCTTGGCACAGGAGGTGCTGGAGTGATGCAGGAGCTGCAGAGCATGGCTGCCTGGGGGTGCAGCTGTGACTCCATCCCCTCGTGTTTTCCCGGTATGCAGAGATGGATCCTGTGATGTAGATGTGATTCTGAGAGCAGGGCAGCCATGTGGGTGCTGGGTTTGAACCCAGCTGGGAGGGTCTGCGATCCAGTGGTAATCCTTGATGGGAGCAGAGAGCAGCTGAGCCAAGGGAAGCAGAGCAGTGGCAGCACATCCCTTGGGCATGCTGCCACAGCTGCCTTGAACCCAATGGCAGCGGGAGCCTGGCCACGGGGGTCATGCTCTGAGCATGGGGGAGCAGGCTGGGGACAGCATGGAGCTCAGGGGGACATCAGAGCTCCATGGGGACAGGGACGTCTCCAGGCTGCTGGCCTCGTGGGCACCGTGGCTGCATCTTTCCAGGAGGAGGGTGATGATGGGGGCAGACAGCAGCAGGAGCAGGCTGAGGGCAGAGCGCAGGATCCAGACCTCCAGGGGCATGGCTGACCCTGGGAGAGAAGGAACACAGTGTGGCCAAGGCAAGCCTTGGAGGACGGCTGTGCTGGGAAGGCTGATGAGCAATGTCTCACCTCTGGAAGGGAGCTGGGCCTTGTGTGAGGGGCTGCTGCCTGTGGGAGACATGAACATGCGTGAGTCCCTTGAACTCCATTTTAGGACAATCCCAGATGCTGAGGAGATGCTGAGCTCATGTCTTGCTTCCTTGAGCACACAGGGAACATGAGCAAGCCTTTCCATGTATGTTCCCAGACACAGATTTGTAAAGGTTAGAGGGACAACCTAGAGCGGTAGTGGAACACCCCAGGGTCCACAGACAACCCCAGCCCTTGTTCTCAATTTCAGTGCCCGATGCAGCCCTATCTCTGCTGCAGAGGTGCTGCAGGAGGGAAAGGGGCACGTCTGGGAGCAGATCTTTCTCTAGCGGCTGCCTTAGAGGAGAGGGAACACTCCCATGGGGATCTACACCACAGCCATGCCCTACCTGCTGCAGCACACAGCTCCAGCTTCTGCAGTATCCCCATCCCTTCTGTTCAAACCACCCTTGGGCCATATCACCTGGCACAAACAGGCTGCCCAGTCCTGGCTCCCATCTCGGGGCTGGGGGAAGGCTGAAGCTCCCCAGCTCCCTCAGCAGCCTCCCCAGCTGGGCTGCCCACAGCCATCACCCCAGGCACCGTCTCCCCAGCCGTGCACCCCAGGTTCCCCCCACCTTTCCCACTGCACCAGCCCCACAGCAGGACCCCCAGGTCCTCAGCCTTTCCCTGCCTTCCCCCACTCCCTCACCTTTCCTGATGGAAAACCAGCTGCCTGCACAGGAGGATGAGGATGAGAGGCACCACTGCAAGCACCATGGCTGTGGGAGGGTGTGCGGGAGCCGGGCATGGGGAGTCAGGGGACAGGGTGTGAGGGCAGCGGGTGTGATGGGGAGAGGTAGGGAGCAGGACATGCCCGTGCAGCTGGCACACCCTCATGCTTGTCCTCACCTGGGGAGCTCTGGATATCAGTGGTGGTCTCACCATCACCTGCACCTTGGGGCAAAAGGGTTTTTCTTAGTGGGATCAAGACCTGGCACACCGCCACACCCAGTCCTTTTTGTTCCTGTTTGTTCTTGCTGAGCAGGCACCTTTCTGTGTCTCAAACCAGCACCACTGTGCTCCCCTTCTGGAACCATCCCACACTGTTGCTGATGTACAGGCTATAGCCTGTCTCATGACAATCACACCACTTCCCCTGCCATAGGCTCGTCAATGTACAGGGCAGATCTTGGAACATCCCAGTCCATCAACATCCCCAGCTCTTGCTCTCTCTGCATGGGAACTGCACAGCCCCATGCCCACGAGTGCTACTGCAGGGAGGGGGACAGTCCTTGAGAGCAGCTTTCTCTCTGTAGGGCTGCCTCTGAGGAGAGGGAACACTCCCGAGGGGAACCACCCCAGAGTCCATGCCCTGCCTACTGCAGCACACAGCTCCAGCCCCAGAAGTTTCCGAAAACTTTTACCCTCACCACCCTGGGGCCATGTCTCACCTGCCACAGACAAGGTCTGGGGAGCACTGAGAGCAGAGTTCCTCACCCAGTTGCTCTCGTTCCTCTGCTGGTACCCACACTTGTACGTCCCAGCACTTCTGGAGGTGATGTTCAGGACCAGAGCATAGATGACCTTGCCCTGCTGGGCTTTCAGGCTGAACTCCTCCTGCCCATTCTTGCAGAAGACAACTCGTGTAGCAGGAAACTGCCAATCAATGGCACACTGAAAGAGAATTATTTCCCCCTCCTTGGCACTGGAAGCGTTGAGGTACAGGACTGGAGTCTGGTCGTTACCTGGAGAGAAGGCAGAGGGATTCCCCAGGCAAGAGTTAGTGACTGCCGGGTGGCAAAACCAACTGCATGCCAAGGCTGGAGGAGTCTGCTGTCTTGGGGTTTCCAGGGGGAATTGTGAGGGAATAATCCCCTTCTCTCTTCCCACTCCTTCCCCAGGACACGTTCATTTTTGGGACCCACCTCCATGCTCCTGCAATCCTGGAGAGCTGCAGATGTCCTGGGTGGTCACTCCAGCACCTGCAGCATGGGGCAGAGAGGGCTTTGCTTAGAGGGGCAGAGACCCAGCTCACCCCCACCTCCCTGCTCACATCCCAGTTTCTGAGTCCTGCCTGAACAGGGGACTTCCCACCCACACATTTCCAATTGCGATTTGCTTCATCTGCACACTTGGCACCATCCCAAGCCTGGTCTGGATGTGCTTTATATTCCCGTATGAGTGCCCAGGATCTCTAAGGAATCCAGCATCCTGAACGTCTCACACAAAAGCTCCAGACAAACTTTTAGTACTGGAGAAGTGTCCCTTTCTCAGATCTGCATCGTCGCTGGAGGAAGCAATCCCAACCCATCCTTCCCCAGACGCAACCGTGTCCTGCAGTTCTGCATGCCTGCCCCGCACAGAGGGGCAGTGACCTCCTGCCTTCCCCAAAACAACTCTGCCCTGCAGTTAAGCACGACTGTATCGCACACACTGTCCCCATCCTCCCCTGTGCCCACCACGGGCCTGTCCTGCCCCCAGCAGCAGCCCTCCAGCCCTCAGCCCCCACACCCAGCAATGCCCCAACTCACAGAGTGCCAGCAGCAGGACGGCAGGGCCAGAAGGAGACAGCCTTGCCCATGGCACCTGCCCCAGCATCTTTTGGGGCTGCTTTTGGGGAGCAGCGTCTGCTTCAGGTGTCTGCTTTGCTGTGAGCTGGGGATGGTGGGACAGAGGCTTGCAGTGCAGCTGGGACCTGTGCTGTGGGCTTGCTGTGGCCGCCTGAGCCTGGCCCACACTGAGCGTCTCTCATCAGTGACGGCCATGCCTCAGCCCCTGCTACATCCGCTGCTTTTGTTGAGGACCGCTGTTATTTTTGTCCTCTCGCACACCTCAGCACGCTCTGTTTTTCTGTTTTTTCCTGTGTCTCAGGGGCAGCATCTTCCTTGCAAAGCCCTCCTGCCTTTTTCCCCATGTTCTTTGCCTTCTTCTGACCAGGTCACTCTGCTTTTCTTCGATCTCCATACCAATAGTTGTGCCAGGGGCATCCTGCACCAAGGTCAAAGTGACTTGAGAGCTCTGGGGCAGTTGCCAAGGCTGTGGGCAGATTTCTCCTTCATCCTGTTGGTGAATCATCTTATGAAGAACTCTCAGGGAGTCTCAGCTGGGGCCATAGTGCTGCCAGCACAGCACTGTGGGAGCCATCTGCACCCACTGGTCTTCAACTCTCTTGGGCATGACTGCCCATCACTCAACAGCCCCACTCCAGAAGTCCAGAGGATGACCTCGGCTTTCTCCCACCACAGCCTTTTGGACATCCACTTCATCTCTTCCCACTTCACAGAATCACAGAATTACAGAATTTCTAGGTTTGAAGAGATCTCAAGATCATCGAGTCCAACCTCTGACCTTACATTAACAGTCCCCATTAAACCATATCCCTAAGCTCTACATCTAAACGTCTTTTAAAGACTTCCAGGGATGGTGACTCCACCACCTCCCTGGGCAGCCTGTTCCAGTGTCTAACAACCCTTTCAGTAAAGAAGTTCTTCCTAACATCTAACCTAAAACTCCCCTGGCACAACTTAAGCCCATTCCCCCTCGTCCTGTCACCAGGCACGTGGGAGAACAGACCAATCCCCACCGCTACAGCCTCGTTTAAGGTATCTAGGGAGAGTGATAAGGTCGCCCCTGAGCCTCCTCTTCTCCAGGCTGAACAAGCCCAGCTCCTTCAGCCACTCCTCATAGGACTTGTTCTCCAGGCGCCTCACCAGCTTCGTCGCCCTTCTCTGGACTCACTCAAGCACCTCGATGTCCTTCTTGTAGCGAGGGGCCCAAAACTGAACACAGTACTCGAGGTGCGGCCTCACCAGAGCCGAGTACAGGGAGACGATCACCTCCCTAGCCCTGCTGGCCACTCTGCTTCTTATACAAGCCAGGATGCCGTTGGCCTTCTTGGTCACCTGAGCACACTGCTGGCTCATATTCAGCTGACTATCAACCATCACTCCCAGGTCCTTCTCTACCAGGCAGCTCTCCAACCACTCATCTCCCAGCCTGTAGCTCTGCTTGGGGTTATTTCTCCCCAGGTGCAGGACCCATCACTTGGCCTTATTGAACTTCATACAGTTGACCTCAGCCCATCGGTGCAGCCTATCCAGATCCTCCTGCAGAGCCTTCCTACCCTTGAGCAGATCGACACATGCACCTAACTCGGTGTTTAAATTTGTGATTCTGTGATTCAGAATAAACCAACCCCTGTTGTTGGTGACGACAAGATCTAGCAGCACTCCTCTCCCAGTTGGCACGTTCACCATTTCCATCAGGAAGTTATCATCAATACCCTGGAGGAACCAGTACTGGAGGAACTTCCTGGACTGTGGGTGACTGGCTGAGTAGGCCTGCCAGCAAATGTCAGGGTAGTTGAAATCCCCCATGATAACCAGGGCCTGTGATTAAGAGGCTGTTCTCAGATGCCTGTAGAAGGCCTCTTCAGCTTCCTCATCCTGGTCTAGTGGTCTGTAACAGACAAGCACAACAGCATCCCCCATGCCAGCCTGCCCCTTAATTCTCACCCACAGACTCTCAACTCGCTCCTCATGTACCCCTGGACAGTACTCAATACAATGGAGTTTCTCTCTCATGAGAAGAGCAGTTCCGCCACCTCACCTTGCTGGCCTGTCTTCCTGAGCAGGACATAGCCATCCATGACCACATTCCAGCCATGTGAGCTGTCCCACCATGTCTCTGTAACTGCCACCAGATCTCAGTCTTCTGACCAAACAGAGTTTTCCAACTCCTCCTGCTTATTCCACGTGCTGAATGCATTTGTGTCCAGGCACTTCAGGGAAGGAGCTGAGCACGCTGATTTCACCCCATGAAGGGTGGGAGGCCTCCTGGTCTTCATGTCTGCGGGGGCACTGTCCCACCAGTACAAGCCCTGCTACAAGCCCATTATCCTGCGGATATACATGTAGCTTGAAGCTCTCCAAATGAGCCCTGCTAATTGCTGTCCCAGAACCCTCTGGACCCTGTGAGATAAACCTTTCCCAAGTATTCCTCTCAGGCCTGGTGTCTTATAACACCAGCCATTACCAAATAACCCAAAGCTGGGCCTGTAGCACCAGTCACGGAGCCAAGCATTTATGGACCAGATCCTTCTATTCATACAATGTCACCACCCCAGAATGGATGGAGGGAAGAGAAAGGGACTTGTATCCAGACTCTTTCACCAACCGTCCCAAGGCCTTGAAAGCTTTCTTCATTCCCCTCAGACTACAGGACGCAGCTTCCTCCACAGCTGTCTGCAATATTGTCAGCTGATGAGGTGATATCTCTCCTCCAGGCTCTGATAGACCACAGACTTCCCTGGGAATGAAGGGAATGCTCCGTGTCCTCATGGCCAGTCCTCAGTCAGTTTGGGTGCTCTCCTTTCAGTGCTCCTTGGACCCTGTCTGTGCCAGGTGAGACACGACCCTTCATCAGGCTGTGGGGTCAGTGGGATGTGGACAGTGCAGAAGCTGGAGCTGTGTGCTTCATCATACAGGGCATGGCTCAGGTGATTCCCCCTCGGGAGTTTCCCTACTCCACAGGAGACCCTGGACAGAGACTCTCAAGAGTTCCCCTGTAGCTGCAGTAGCACCTCTGCTGAGACATGGGCTCTGCAGTGCCATGTAAAAAAAGCAAGGGTTGGGGATATCAGAAGGCCCTGGCCTGTGCCACTACTGCTCCAAGCTCTCCCTCACACTTTTACTATATGTCTGGAATTGACATGAGCTGGTTGTTAATGCTCACCATGTACACAAGGAAGAAGACACGAGCTCAGGGTCTGCTCAGCATCTGGGATTGTCCCAGCAAAGAGCTCCATAAACTCACAGCATGTTCATGTCTCCCACAGGCAGCAGCCCCTCACACAAGGCCCAGCTCCCTTCCAGAGGTGAGCCATTGCTCATCAGCCCTTCCCAGCACAGCCGTCCTCCAAGGCTTGCCTTGGCCACACTGTGTTCCTCCTCTCTCCCAGGGTCAGCCATGCCCCTGGAGGTCTGGATCCTGCGTCTGCCCTCAGCCTGCTCCTGCTGCTGTCTGCCCCCATCATCACCCTCCTCCTGGAGAGATGCAGCCAGGTGCCATGTGGCCAGGCAGCCTGGAGACGTCCCTCCCCATGGTGCAATGATATCCCCATGGGCTCCATGCTGTCCCCAGCCTGCTCCACATGCTCAGAACATGAGCGCCACACATTTGCCAGACTCCAGCTGCCATTGGTCTCAAGGCAACTGGGGCAGCATGCCCAATGGATGTGCTGCCACTGCTCTGGTTCCCTTGGCTCAGCACCTTCCTTTGAGGAAGGGAATTGAGAGAGCAGCATGGGGGAGCTCAGGTGCCTTCAGGACAAAGCCTCTGCCTTTCCTGGTTGTTGTGTGGTCGCATGAGGGTCAAAGTGTGCGTGCAGATGGCTCCCACAGTGCTGTGCTGGCAGCAGTATGGCCCCAGCTGAGACTCCCTGAGAGTTCTTCATAAGCTGATTCACCAACAGGATGAAGGAGAAATCTGCCCACAGCCTTGGCAGCTGCACCAGAGCTCTGGTGTCAGTTTGGCCTTGGTGCAGGATGCCCCTGATGCCATCATTTGTCTCGACATTGAAGAGAAGCAGAGTGCCATGTTCAGGAGAAAGCAAATCCCAGTGGGGACAAGGGGCAGGAGCTCTTTACAGGGACAATGTTGCCGCTGAGATACAAGTAAAACTAGCGTGTGCTGCAGTGTGTGAGAGGACAGAAAAAACTGTGGGGGCTCAACCAAAGCAGCGGATGTAGCAGGTTCTTAGGCAAGGTACCCACTGATGAGAGCCTCTGGCTGTGGGCCAGGCTCAGGCGGCCACAGAAAGCCCACAGCACAGGTCCCAGCTGAACCGCAAGCTACTGTCACACCGTCCCCAGTTCAGAGCAAAGCAGAAACTCAAGGCAGACGGTGCTCCCCTAAAGCAGCACCCCAAAAGATGCTGGGGCAGGCGCCATGGTCAAGGCTGTCTCCTTCTGGCTCTGCCATCCTGCTGCTGGCACTCTGTGAGTTGGGGCATTGTTGGGTGTGGGGGCTATGGGGTGGAGGGCTGCTGCTGGGAGCAGGACAGGCCAGTGGTTTGTACAGGGGAGGATGGGGACAGTGTGTTTGGGGCAGGTGTGCAGCATTGTGGGGCATCGTTGCTCTGGGAAGGCATGATGGGGATGGCTTCCTCCAAGTATGATACAGATCTGAGCAAGGGGCACACTTCTCCAGCACCATAAGTTTTCTGGAGTGCTGCTCTCAGACTCTAGGAGTGCTGAGGTCTTTACGGAGCTATGGGACTTACCTAGAAGATGAAATCCCCACAAAATGGAATCGGGATTGGCATTGTTCAAGAGGTTATTATGCTGTATCAAGAGATACAGCATGAAAACATGCAGATGTGATGATGTGTTCTTAGCAGTGAGGTTTTAGTCAGGGGGAATGTGGGAGTACGAAAATCTGGATGAGCCTGGACTCTGCCCCTCTCAGCAAATCCCTCTCTGCCCCCAGGTACAGCTGCCAGCATGAGCTCCCAGGACATCTGCAGCCCCCCAGGTACTCGTGAGTCCTTCCCTCCCAGACCCAGGGCACTTGGAAGCCCAACCACTGTGAGCTCTGCCCTATGGCAGCCCTTCACTGCTGTGTCTCCTCCAGGGTATCTCCAAGCTCCTGCTCTCCAAATGAACTCAACTTCTGCTCAGCCAGGTACAAGAGTTTTTTCTCCAGTGTATTCTCCCTGTGGTGTCACCTGTAAGAAAAATCATTTTCTGCAAGGATGGGAAGGAGGTGTACAGTCTGAAAGCCCAGCAAGGGCAGCTGAACTACTCCGTGGTCCTGAACATCACATCAAGAAGCGCAGGAAGATATACATGTGGGTACAAGGAGTGGAATGAGATGAAACACATTGAGGAGCTCTGCCCTCAGTGCTGGCCGCATCCTGGATATCCCTGGTGAGACACGTCCCCGGGCTGGAGGGGTGAGAAGGGACGGAGGCATTTGCCACCACATGGCTGTGCTGAGGCTGGAGCTGTGTGCTGCAGCAGGCTCTGGGGTGGTTCCCTCATGGGAGTGTTCCCTCTCCTCCAAGGCAGCCCCTAGACAGAGAGAGCTGGTCTCAGTGGATTGCCGTGTCCCTGCAGCACTACCTCTGCTGCAGAGTTGGGGCTCTGCAGAGCCCATTCACAGAGAGCAAGGGATGGGGATGTGGATGAATGTTGGGTTGAGCCAGGGATGCTCCAAGGTCTGCCCTGTGCATTGATGAGCCTATGGCAGGGCAAGTGGGATGACTGTCATGAGCTGGGCAAGGACACAGCAGGGAGGACATGGCAAGGACCAAGCAGCTGGGACATGGGCACAAGCGTGTGGGTGCCCCAGCTCTCACTCCCTCTAAACAAAACCCTCTGTGCCCCAAGGTGCAGGTGCTGGCATGACCACCCAGGACATCTGCAGCTCCCCAGGTGAGGCTGAGCGTGGGGATGGGTGACTGAAGAGAGGTGTGTGTGGGGTGGTGATGGCAAGGGAGAGGGAATTTGTTCTCTGGGCGAGAGCTCCTGGGAAGGAATCATTTCTCCGCATGGAACACAAAGCATTTTTGTGCAATTCTGGGGTCTCCAGTATAAGAGGGGCATAGAACTACTGGAGAGAGCCTTGAGGAGGGCTGTAAAGATGATCAGAGGACCGGAGCCAAGAGCGCTGAGCCTTTTTAGCCTGGAAAAGAGGAGACTGAAGGGAGACCTCATCCATGTCTATAAATATCTGAGGGGAGGGAGTTGAGAGAATGGTGCTGGTCTCTTTTCAGTTGTGCCCAGGGAAAGGGTGAGAGGCAACAGGCCCAAATGGGAGCACAGAAAGTTCCATCTGAATATGAGGGGCATTTCTTTACTGGGAGGGTGACAGAGCACTGAAACAGGCTGCCCAGAGATGCTGTGGAGTCTCCTCTGCAGATATTTCAAATCCACCTGGATGCCTCTGTGCAGTCTGTCCTAGCTGATCCTGCTCAGCAGAAGGCTGGACTCCATGACTTTCAGAGGTCCCTTCCAACCTTGGCCATTCTGTGATTGTGTGATCCTCTAGCCCCCAGAATCACAGACAGATGAGAGTGGTGGTGCCATATTTAATGGGCAGGCACACCTTGGCCAAGCTATTCTTAACCACTCACGAGGGAATTTAGACAGCTGATCCATGGGGGCCCATGTTGCCACAAAAGCCACAGGCACTTTTATTCGTTCCCTGGGGATGTTGCTGGCTGTCGATGGGGGATGTGGCCATGGGGCTGAGGCTCATTCTGGGAAGGATCTGGATGCACTGTAGACACTAAGCCTGTCCTTTTGTCGTGCCAGGCAATGTGGTGAGTTCCCCAGCAAGTCCACCACCCCCCAGGTGAGAGATTCCCTCCTATACCCCCAGAAACCCAAGCATGGGGAGTGGGCGTGCTGTGCTGCCTTCCCCAGGGCATGGGGACAAGCAGGAGCTTTACAGGGCAGGAGCTGTGCCAGCTGCACGGGTGTGTCCTGCTCCCTGCCTCTCCCCATCACACCCCGCTGCCCTCACACCCTCTGTCCCCCAGATCCACATGCATGGATCCCGCACGCTCTCCCCACAAGCACGGTGCTGGCAGTGGCGGCCGTCGGCCTGTCCTCCTGTCTACAGGCAGCTGGTTTGCCATCAGGAAAGGTGAGGGAGTGGCGAAAAAAGGGAGGAAAAGCTGAGGCCATGGGGGTCCAGCTGCGGGGCTGGTGCAGAGACAAAAGAGGTGGTGCGAACCTGGGGGTGCGCAGCTGGGGCAGACGGTGCCTGGGGGTGATGCTGTGAGAAGCCCATCTGGGGAGGCTGCTGAGGGAGCTGGGGAGCTTCAGCCTTCGTCCCCCAGCCCCGAGATGGGAGCCAGGGCTGGTCAGCACCTTGGCCTGTGCACCTCAGCCCCTGTTCTTCTTGCAGGTGCCTGCAGAGGGAGATGCCCAAGGTGAGCACCAAGGGCTGCTGGCTGTGGGGTTTTTTGGAGGGAGTTGGGTGCATGGCGGGGCCCTGGGGTGCTCCTTGGCAAGGGACAGTGTTCTCTGTGTGTGTGTGTGGCTGCATTCCCTGTGCTGGAGGCAGGGAGGATGGGGCTTGCTATTTGCTGCACTCCAGTTCACCACATGATGTTGGAAAGCATGACCCAAGTGCGTTTCTCATGTGGCAACCTCACCACAAACGCACACCCAACAACCATTCCATTCCTCTCCAGGCAGCAGCACGTTGACAGCCCACAGATGGAAACCACAGACCATGGCGAAGTCACATGTGAGTACTACCTCCTCCCTTGGCGGCAGCCATGCACCCGTCTCAGGTGGAATCCCACCACTTCATTTCCCACTGGGATATAGAAAATCCCTGCCTGTTCATCAAGGCCAGGTTTCTCTCCAGCACCTTATGTCCTGCTTCTTCCTTGCATGCAGAGTGTGGCTGCTGCCTGCACAAGGGACATGGCAGCATGCCAGTGCTCCCAGGGACAAAGCCCTTTTGCTTGGGGGGTTCCTTCCACACCAGCTCCGTCCTCAGGCTGCATTTCCCCTGCTTCAGCCTCTGCTTTTGTCCTTTCTTCAGTTTCTCTTCAGTGTCATTTCTGCTTCAAGAACTACACAAAGTACATCACAGCAACGAAAGCTGTCGCTCTGTTTCCTTGCACTGCTGGGGAAAATATTTTATAGCTCATTCTGAAACCACAGGCAGCAGCCAAAGGAGGATGTTGTGGTTGGGCGACAGGCTATAGATATATCCCCACCCTACGTGCACTTAGCACGAGTTGCAGCACAACCTTGTTTACCCATGCCTGTACAGAGCATTTTGCAAGGTGTGCTGGCTGTGCAAAGAGAGGCGATGCCACAGAATGGTGGAAATACACCAAAACCTCAGCATCTTTGCTCCACTGCTGCTTAATGCACGTCCTAGATCAGGGTGATGGGAGGGGAAATGTGGTCAGGCATTGAGTGTTAACCCCAGGCAGCTGATTCCCAAAGCTTGCAGGGGTTCACCCCCTCCAATCAGCAAGGGCTCATCGAGTGTTTTTTCCCCACAGACTCCACCATCGCCCACGTTCGACGGGACAGGGTGAGTCGTGGCACAGCTGCTGCACAGCTCCTTTCTGCACTCCTGCAGCCTGGTGCCTGCTCATTGTGCAGGGCTCACAGTCAGTAGCTGAAGTAACAGGGTTTCATTTATCCCTAAAGCCTCCTCCCATGCAGCAGATGAGCGACACCACAACGTATGCCACGGTGACCCACACCCAGACCCGATAGCGCTGCCACAGGGCAAGGGCACAGGAGCCTTGCCCATGTTTGCCTTCACTGTCTTGTAGGAAGCTCTTGCAACCATACCGTTGGGCTGGGGGGTGCACTTCGGGGTTCTTTGCGATTTTCTTTCACAGGGAAAGGCTGTGTGTGCCTAGCCAAGATGTTGAAGGATTCATATCTCAGTTTGCAATAAATCAATACCTCTAAAATATATCAGGTGTACCAAGTAATATTGTGAGTGTATCAATGGTTATTCCTCATGTGAAACCATCTCCCTGTGCTCACTGGAAATTATGTATTCCTAAACTGCATGATAAAGTCACAGGGCTGCTCTTCTATGCACCCACACAGATGGACATTTGGACCTATAGGGACTGGTATCACTGCAGGGATGTGCTTGCATGTGTCTGCCAAGTGGTGTGTGTGCTGCAGATGTGGTTTTGTTTAGAAGAAAAATAAACATCTCTGGACGTCCATAAATACACAGGTCATGATGGCATGCTCAAGATGCTCATGCCAGGAGCTGAAGGAGATGGTGGAAGTTATTGCTAGGCCATTGTTCATCATGTGTGGTAAGTCATGGGCATCAGGAATGTTGCCTGAGGACTGGAGGAAAGCAAATGTTAGTCCAGTCTTCCAAAGGGGAAAGAAGGATGACCCAGGTAACTATAGACCAGTCAGCCTCACCTCCATCCCTGCAAAGCTGATGGAACAATTTAGACCTGGCGTTGTCTCTAGTTATATCAAAGATAAAGGTGTCATTAGAGGCATTCAGCAAGGGGAAGTCATGCTTGACCGAACTGAGAGCCTTTTATGAGGATATAGGTGGGAGGATAGATGATATTAAAGCAGTGGATGTGGTCTATCTTGATTTCAGTAAAGCCTTTGACACGGTCTCCCACACACAGCATCCTCGCAGCTAACCTGAAGTGTGTGAAGGGTGATCTGGTAGTGAGGTGGACTGTGATCTGTCTGAAGGGAAGAAGCCAGAGGGTTGTGGTCAATGGGGTGGAGGCGAGTTGGAGGCCTGTATCTGGTGGAGTCCCTCAAGGGTCGGTCCTGGGACCAGTGCTATTCAATATATTCTTCAATGACTTGGATGAGGGAATGGAGTGCACTGTCAGCAAGTTTGCTGATGACACTAAACTGGGAGGAGTGGCTGACATGCTGTGTACACTGTGCATGGCTGTGCTTCCATCCATTGAGACCTAGACAGGATGGAGAATTGGGTGAGGAGAAATGTAATGAAATCACAGAATCACAGAATCGTCTAGGTTGGAAGAGACCGTCAAGATCACCTAGTCCAACCTCTGACCTAACACTAACAACTCTTTCTCTAAACCATATTTGTAAGATCAACATCTAAACGTCTTTTAAAAACCTCCAGGGACAGGGACTTAACCACTTCCCTGGGCAGCCCGTTCCAATGCCTAACAACCCTTTCGGTAAAGAAGTTTTTCCTAACATCCAACCTAAACCTCCCTTGGCACAAATTCAGCCCATTCCTCCTCGTCTTGTCACCAGGCATGTGGGAGAATAGACCAATCCCCACCGCTACAGCCTCCTTTAAGGTATCTAGAGAGAGCAATAAGGTCATGCCTGAGCCTCCTTTTCTCCAGGCTGAACTCTCTCGGGCACCTCCATGTCCTTCTTGTAGCGAGGGGCCCAAAACTGAATAGAGTACTCGAGGTGTGGCCTCACCAGAGCCGAGTTCAGGGGGACAATCACTTCCTTAGCCCTGCTGGCCCATCTGCTTCTTATACAAGCCAGGATGCTGTTGTCCTTCTTGGCCACCTGAACACACTGCTGGCTCATATTCGGACGATTATCCTCCCAGGTCCTTCTCTGCCAGGCAGCTTTCCAACCACTCATCTCCCAGCCTGTAGCTCTGCTTGGAGTTGTTGTGTGCCAAGTGCAGGACCCATCACTTCACCTTGTTGAACTTCATACAGTTGACCTCAGCCCATTGGTCTAGCCTATCCAGATCCTCCTGCAGAGCCTTCGTACCCTCAAGCAGATAACTTTGTGTCATCTGCAAACTTGCTGAGGGTGCACTCAATCCCCTCATCCAGATCATCGATAAAGATATTAAAGAGGACTGGCCCCAGTACTGAGCCCTGGGGGACGCCACTAGTGACCTGCCTTCAACTGGATTTGACTCCATTCACCACAACTCTTTGGGCCCGGCTATCCAGCCAGTTTTAACCCAAGGAAGCGTGCGCCAGTCCAAGCCATGAGCAGCCAGTTTCTTGAGGAGAATGTTGTGGGGAATAGTGTCAAAAGCCTTACTGAAGTCAAGGTAGCCCACATCCACTGCCTTTCCTCATCCACCCAGCGCGTCACTTTGTCATAGAAAGAGATCAGTTTCGTCAAGCAGGACCTTCCTTTCATAAACCCATGCTGACTGGGCCTGATCGCCTGGTTGCACTGTAAGTGCCGTGTGATGACACTCAAGATAGTCTGCTCCATGAACTTCCCTGGCACTGAGGTCAAACTAACAGGCCTATAGTTCACCGGGCCTACCCTCCAGCCCTTCTTGTAGATGGGCATCATGTTTGCTAGCCGCCAGTCCACTGGGACCTACTCTGATAGCCAGGACTGCTGATAAATGATGGTAAGAGGCTTTGCCAGGTCCTCCGCCAGTTCTCTCAGTACCCTCAGGTGGATCCCATCAGGCCCCATGGATTTGTGCACATCCAAGTGCCGTACCAGGTCACCAACCATTTCTTTCTGGATAGAGAGGGCCATATCCTGCTTCCCATCCCCTTCCACCAGCTTAGGGTACTGGGTATCCAGAGAACAACTGGTATTGCCACTAAAGACTGAGGAGAAGAAGGCATTAAGCGCCTCCACATTTTCCTCATCTCTTGTAACTGTTTCCCCCCACATCCAGTAAAGGCTGGAGATTCTCCTTAGTCCTCCTTTTTGTGTTGATGTATTTATAAAAACATTTTTTGTTATCTTTAATGGCAGTAGCCAGATTGAGCTCCAGATGAGCTTTGGCCTTTCTAATTTTGTCCCTGCACAGCCTTGCAACATCCTTATAGTCCTCCCTAATGGCCTGCCCACTTTTCCAAAGATTATAAACCCTCTTTTTTCTCCTAAGCTCAAGCCACAGTTCTCTGTTCAGCCAGGCTGGTGGTCTTCCCCGCCGGCTCGTCTTTGGGCACGTGGGGACAGACCGTTCCTGCGCCATTAAGATTTCCCTCTTGAAGAGTGCCCAGCCTTCCTGGACTCCTCTGCTCTTCAGAACCACCTCCCAAGGTACTCTACCAACCAGTGTCCTCAGCAGCACAAAGTCAGCCCTCTGGAAGTCCAATACAGCGGTTTTACTGGTCCCCTTCCTGGCCTCGCGAAGAATAGTGAACTCCAGCATTTCGTGGTCACTCTGCCCAAGACAGCTCCTGACAGTCACATCCTCCACCAGTCCTTCTCTGTTTGTGAAGAGAAGGTCTAGCGGGGCGCCACCCCTGGTAGGCTCACCAACCAGCTGTGTCAGGAAGTTATCTTCCACGCTCTCCAGAAACGTCCTAGACTGCTTTCTCTGGTCTGTGTTGTGCTTCCAGGATATCACAGAATCACAGAATCACAGAATTTCTAGGTTGGAAGAGACCTCAAGATCATCGAGTCCAACCTCTAAGCTAACACTAACAGTCCCCACTAAACCATATTCCTACGCTCTACATCTAAAAGTCTTTTGAAGACTTCCAGGGATGGTTACTCCACCACCTCCCTGGGCAGCCCGTTCCAGTGTCTAACAACCCTTTCAGTAAAGAAGTTCTTCCTAACATCCAACCTAAAACTCCCCTGGCGTAACTTTAGCCCATTCCCCCTCGTCCTGTCACCAGGCACATGGGAGAACAGGCCAACCCCCACCTCGCTACAGCCTCCTTTAATGTACTTATACAGAGCAATAAGGTCACCCCTGAGCCTCCTCTTCTCCAGGCTGAACAAGCCAAGCTCCCTCAGCCGCTCCTCATAGGACTTGCTCTCCAGGCCCCTCACCAGCTTCGTCGCTCTTCTTAGGACCCGCTCAAGCACCTCGATGTCCTTCTTGTAGCGAGGGGCCCAAAACTGAACACAGTTCTCGAGGTGCGGCCTCACCAGAGCCGAGTACAGGGGGACGATCACCTCCCTAGCCCTGCTGGTCACACTGTTTCTGATACAAGCCAGGATGCCGTTGGCCTTCTTGGCCACCTGAGCACACTGCTGGCTCATATTCAGCCGACTGTCCACCATCACTCCCAGGTCCTTCTCTGCCTGGCAGCTCTCCAACCATTCCTCTCCCAGCCTGTAGTTCTGCTTGGGGTTATTGCGCCCCAGGTGCAGGACCCGGCACTTGGCCTTGTTGAACTTCATACAGTTGACCTCAGCCCATCGGTGCAGCCTATCCAGATCCTCCTGCAGAGCCTTCCTACCCTCGAGCAGATCGACACACGCACCTAGCTTGGTGTCATCTGCAAACTCACTGAGGGTGCACTCAATGCCGTCATCCAGATCATTGATGAAGATGTTAAAGAGGACCGGCCCCAGCACTGAGCCCTGGGGGACACCACTAGTGACTGGCCTCCAACTGGACTTGGCTCCATTTACCACAACTCTTTGGGCCCGGCTATCCAGCCAGTTTCTAACCCAACGAAGCGTGCCCCAGTCCAGGGCGTCAGGGAAGCTGAAGTCCCCCACGAGAACAAGCACCTATGATTTTGCAACTTCTGTCAGCTGCCTGTAGAACTCCTCATCCGTCTCTTCATCCTTGTTCGGCGGTCTATAACAGACCCCAAAGAGACTTCAAAGTGCTCTGTCACAGTACTCGATAGGGAGGGCTCAGAAGCTCACTACAACCCGCACTGTACCTTCTCCAGAAACCCACAAGGCGTAGGATAACTTGTAGTTCTTTCTTGTTAGCTGGTGGGCACACAGTTGTTACCTCACTGACCTCACCCACTGGAATATAGCAACATCCACCTTGCCATTTTACACCCAAGTTTCACATTTCCTGTGAAGGTCCCTTGACCTCACTCTGGTCAATGCACAACAAGCCTTCAGGAGAATTTAGATGATTTACATCCCTTTCTCAAGAATTCCTCTGCTTTGCTGCCCCATGTGAGGCTGCCATCAATGCACTGCAGGTGCTCAGGAGCTTCACCTTGTTCTACAGCCATCTGCATTACTCCACGGCAAATGGCAGGGCTGTGTTTGCACCCCTGGCACCGTCCATTGCAGGTGTATTGAACGCCCCTGCAAGGGAAAGCAAACCATGGCCTGCACTCTACAGCTGTATTGGGTTTACATGGCAAGGGTTTGGTAGCTGGGGTCTGCAGTGGTGGCCTTGTTGAGAAGCCCAGAAGCTGCCCACTATTTGAAAAGGGCCAGTGTCAGACACAAAAGGGACCCGCTGCAGGCCAAGACGAGCCAAAAATTGATGTTGATTGTACCTCTGTGAGAGCATATTTCAGGAGGGAAGAAAACCTGCTGGACATCAACAGGTGGCAGAGGGAAGAATGAGAACCAGCCTTGCAGGCACCAAGGTCAGTGCAGCAGGAGGGCCGGAGGTGCTCCAGGCATGCAGCACAAGTTCCCCTGTGGCCTGTGGAGAGGCCCCTGGTGGAACAGGCTGTCCCTCTGCACCCATGGGTCCCACATGGAGCAGATCTCCACTCTGCAGCCCGTGGAGGAGCCCCTGGTGGAGCAGGTGGCTGTGGCCCATGGAGAGGCCCCACAGGAGCAGGGCTCAGGCCGGAGCTGCAGCCCGTGGAGAAGAGCCCACACAGAACCAGGTGGCCTGGTGTCGGGTTAAGGGGTGTAGCCGATTAACTGTTAAGGGTCCGGTCGGATTCATGGTACTGAACTATCACAATCACAGATTCACCAATACCGCATTAACCATTAGGCGCCTGTTTGGATTCAGAGCACTGAACTACCATGGTCACAGATTCACCAAAAACGTATAACCACCCTTACTCTAGTTGTGTTTAATGAGCACTATTGTAATAGTAACTTTTTATGCTCCTAGACTCCTACATATTCAATATTACTTCGAGAAAAGACAGGGTTATTATAATTAGGTCCCGGAATCCGAACCCTCCTACTGGCGCATGCATATCAGTCTCTGGTGGTCCCTCTGGGGGTCTCTCGTGCTGAAGTCTTGTAGTCTTCCTCTCAGGCTTTTGTTCTACTCCTTCTCCTTTGTCCATCTTGGCCGGATGTCAGAGACTTTTGCAGCGTCCCCTGCAAGCTTTGTCTTTGAGTCATCCTTCAGCTTTCCCCTTCTCCTTAATCTCCTGGCCAGATATCATGACTTGCATAATATCCCATGCAATAGTCATAATAGGTAGCAGTTATTCTGAAACCCCTTTGTTCTCTTATCACCTATTGACACGAATTGCTGGAACATTCCTTTGTAAGATACAAGAACCAGAGCATTAACCACCCTGTTTTTCTTAGACTTGTGGTTATACAAGGGTATGAAAGACAGAAGGTCACATTTCATCATATGTGGCCCTAGATTGTTCCATATTGACATGAATCAGATGAACACATTTCACACTATCATGGGTAGGAACAATGCATTCAAGTGCGATTTATTACAGCAACAGTACAGGTTCTTTGGATTGCCAGCCATAGTTACTGTCTGCAAAAGCAAGCTAGCATGCACGAAATACACAGGTGACATAGGTGAAACAGGCGCACAGCCTGGAAATTAATGTGTTAAAAGGCACAAAGACTCTATAGAGATTTCAAAGTTTCTGCAGAGACACACAGTATAACCAAGTGTTCAAATCTCACCCAAAGGCCTCCCAATGGGGGCAGAGGTGGAAGAGAAGCTCAGCCCGACAACTGATCCCAGGAGTCAGGAGGTCCTCAGGATGGTGTATTCCCTCAGGGTGGTATCTCCCCTTCAGTGGTATCTTCCAAAACATCACCTCTCTCTTAGGCCAATTTATATTATTTTCTATCTTGTAGGTGGAGCTTGAGTGACTCTAGTCAAGCATATCTTAGTTATGATTGGAGAAAGTTCTCCCATTTCAGTTAAAGTAAAAGGCCGAGAAATTCAGAGTGCATGCTGAGTGAGGGGTGGTCGCACATTGAGGCAGGTAGCTTTTGGGATGGAGGTGTGTTTTGGTATTATAATGATATTAGAATGAGGAAAAGTACACTAGGGTACAGCATTTGTCAAAACATGACAGGTCCTTGGCTGAGGGTCGCAAAAAGTGTGGCTTATCGGTCTCAGTGTGCACAAGAACAATCGAGTCCCCACCTGGCACAGAGCCTAACCGCGGTGTCTCCACTCCACTCTATGCTCCGTACTGTCCCTTAGAACCTGCACACCAGGTTCCCCCAGTGTGATAGCATCTAAGGTTGGGAGCGTAGGGAACGCTTAGGTAATGCAGCTACCCCTAACCCTGAAAGCCTCTTCAATGCTGTACATTTTCTTTAAAACATGAATGTTAGTTTTATTTTCCTAGTTACTTTAGGCAATTGCACCACATTAGCTGAAGGCTGCTAACTGGTAGTGTACTCCAGGGATCCAAATTACAGAATCACAGAATACAGAATTTCTAGGTTGGAAGAGACCTCAAGATCATCGAGTCCAACCTCTGACCTAACACTAACAAGTCCTCCACTAAACCATATCACTAAGCTCTACATCCAAATGTCTTTTAAAGGCCTCCAGGGATGGTGACTCCACCACCTCCATGGGCAGCCCATTCCAATTTTTAACAACCCTTTTCGTAAAGAAGTTCTTCCTAAATTCTTCCTAATTACGTCGAATTCCATTCAATATCTTCATTACTCTCAGGATGCTGGTCAGGGGTTACCCTCAGAAATTTCGCAGCTGGCACCACAGTGCGATTGGCTCACCAGGGAGGGTTGGAGGCTGTATGGGAATGAGGGAGTAGCTCCGTCCACCTAACTCTGTATATTCCCTTTGAGGAAGAGTCTCCTGGAGGCTTGTGCTGTGAAACATGCATGCATGGGCCTGAAGGAAGCTGTGGGACAAGTGCTTCAATGAGGCATGGGAGGTGAGGGACTGTGCTTGCAGGAAGGAGCCTGAAACCCACATCCCTTCCAGCTCTGCCTCCAAGCAGCTCTTGCTGAGTTTTGACCCCATTTTCCTATCCCCTATTCTATCCATGCAGTCCTGCATCCTCGTGTCTCCCAGCTGAGCAGCTCCTGTCCTGCCTGCACCCATCTTGTCCCAGAGTCCCCCACTGCACACCAAGGCCCCAGATGTCAGCACTGGGAGCTGCAGAGAAGGGACACCTTGGCTCCTTCTTGGTATTGGTGTGGGATGGCTAAAAGCCCATAGTGCAAGGCTGGGGATGGTTGTGGGTGTGGGGGCCACATGCTGAGACCCCATCCCCACCTGGCCCACAGCTGGATGCCCCCATGTACAATGTCCCTGCTCAGGGCTGTCTCCTGGGGATGGCGCTTGAGAGACAGAAGATCCAGCACAGGGATGGGTGGGCATGGATGCAGAGTGCCAGGCATGGCCACCTCCTGGCGACTCTACATGGCGTCCTCCATGTAGACTCTACATGGCCACCTCCATGGCCACTCTACATGGCGTCAGCCATCCTGGGATCTCAGGCAGTTTTCCATGACACATCAGCCAGGGCAATGCCAGTAGGTAGGGGAACTCTTGGGTGGCAGGGCAAAGGGAACAGCAGCTCCCTTGCAAGACACATGGTCCCACACAGCAGTTAAAGAGGAGCTCTCCCAGCTCTGCTCTCTGGCTTCCCTCTCAAATACAGAGCAGCAACATCAGCTGGTGTATTCTGAACCAATCCTTTATAACTCGCCTCCCACAGGACCAATACCCACCAAGGTGCCTCGAGAGGGGGCACTGTAATCACTTGGGGATGTGCCCATTGCGGCCAGCACCACCTTGGGCACAGGGAGGTGCTGGAGTGATGCAGGAGCTGCAGAGCATGGCTGCCTGGGGGTGCAGCTGTGACTCCATCCCCTCGTGTTTTCCCGGTATGCAGAGATGGATCCTGTGATGTAGATGTGATTCTGTGAGCAGGCAGGGCAGCCATGTGGGTGCTGGGGTTGAACCCAGCTGGGAGGGTCTGCGATCCAGGGTAATCCTTGATGGGAGCAGAGAGCAGGCGCTGAGCCAAGGGAAGCAGAGCAGTGGCAGCACATCCCTTGGGCATGCTGCCACAGCTGCCTTGAACCCAATGGCAGCGGGAGCCTGGCCACGGTGGGGGTCGTGCTCTGAACATGGGGGAGCAGGCTGGGGACAGCATGGAGCTCAGGGGGACATCAGAGATCCATGGGGACAGGGACGTCTCCAGGCTGCCAGTCCCCGGGCACTGGCTTCATCTCTCCAGGAGGAGGGTGATGATGGGGGCAGACAGCAGCAGGAGCAGGCTGAGGGCAGAGCGCAGGATCCAGACCTCCAGGGGCATGGCTGACCCTGGGAGAGAGGAGGAACACAGTGTGGCCAAGGCAAGCCTTGGAGGACAGCTGTGCTGGGAAGGGCTGATGAGCAATGTCTCACCTCTGGAAGGGAGCTGGGCCTTGTGTGAGGGGCTGCTGCCTGTGGGAGACATGAACATGCTGTGCGTCCCTTGAACTCTGTTTTAGGACAATCCCAGATGCTGAGGAGATGCTGAGCTCATGTCTTGCTTCCTTGAGCACACAGGGAACATGAGCAAGCCTTTCCATGTATGTTCCCAGACACAGATTTGTAAAGGTTAGAGGGACAACCTAGAGTGGTAGTGGAACACCCCAGGGTCCACAGACAACCCCAGCCCTTGTTCTCAATTTCAGTGCCCGATGCAGCCTATCTCTGCTGCAGAGGTGCTGCAGGAGGGAAAGGGGCACTTCTGGGATCAGATCTTTCTCTAGGGGCTTCCTTAGAGGAGAGGGAACACTCCCATGGAGTTCTACAACACAGCCATGCCCTACCTGCTGCAGCACACAGCTCCAGCCTCTGCAGTATCCCCATCCTTCTGTTCAAACCACCCTGGGGCCGTATATCACCTGGCACAAACAGGCTGCCCAGCCCTGGCTCCAGTCTCGGGGCTGGGGGACAAAGGCTGAAGCTCCCCAGCTCCCTCAGCAGCCTCCCCAGCTGGGCTGCCAACAGACATCACCCCCAGGCACCGTCTCCCCCAGCCGTGCACCCCCAGATTCCCCCACCACCTTTCCCACTGCACCAGCCCGCAGCAGGACCCCCGTCCTCAGCCTTTCCCTGGCCTTCCCCCACTCCCTCACCTTTCCTGATGGCAAACCAGCTGCCTGCAGCCAGGAGGATGAGGATGAGAGGCACCACTGCAAGCACCATGGCTGTGGAGAGGGTGTGCGGGAGCTGGGCGTGGGGAGTCAGGAGACAGAGTGTGAGGGCAGCGGTGTGTGATGGGGAGAGGCAGGGAGCAGGATGTGCCTATGCAGTGGCACACCCTCATGCTTGTCCTCACCTGGGGAGCTGTGGATGTCCTGGGTGGTCTCACCAGCACTGCACCTTGGGGCAAAAAGGGTTTTTCTTAGTGGGGCCAAGACCTGGCACACCGCCACACCCGAGTCCTTTTTCTTCCTTTGTTCTTGCTGAGCAGGCACCTTTCTGTGTCTCAAACCAGCACCACTGTGCTCTCCCTTCTGGAACCATCCCACACTGTTGCTGATGTACAGGCTATAGCCTGCCTCATGACAATCACACCACTTCCCCTGCCATAGGTCGTCAATGTACAGGGCAGATCTTGGAACATGCCAGGCTCAACCCAGAGTCCATCAACATCCCCAGCTCTTGCTCTCTCTGCATGGGAACTGCACAGCCCCATGCCTCAGCTGAGCTGCTACTGCAGGGATGGGGACAGCCCTTGAGAGCAGCTTTCTCTCTGTAGGGGCTGCCTCTGAGGAGAGGGAACACTCCCGAGGGGGAACCACCCCAGAGCCATGCCCTGCCTACTGCAGCACACAGCTCCAGCCCCAGCAGTTTTCCGAAAACTTTTACCCTCACCACCCTGGGGCCATGTCTCACCTGCCACAGACAAGGTCTGGGGAGCACTGAGAGCAGAGTTCCTCACCCAGTTGCTCTCGTTCCTCTGCTGGTACCCACACTTGTACGTCCCAGCACTTCTGGAGGTGATGTTCAGGACCAGAGCATAGATGACTTTGCCCTGCTGGGCTTTCAGGCTGAACTCCTCCAGCCCATTCTTGCAGAAGACAACTCGTGTAGCAGGAAACTGCCAATCAATGGCACACTGAAAGAGAATTATTTCCCCCTCCTTGGCACTGGAAGCGTTGAGGTACAGGACTGGAGTCTGGTCGTTACCTGGAGAGAAGGCACAGGGATTCCCCAGGCAAGAGTTAGTGACTGCCGGGTGGCAAAACAAACTGCATGCCAAGGCTGGAGGAGTCTGCTGTCTTGGGGTTTCCAGGGGGAATTGTGAGGGAATAATCCCCTTCTCTCTTCCCATCTCCTTCCCCAGGACACGTTCATTTTTGGGACCCACCTCCATGCTCCTGCAATCCTGGAGAGCTGCAGATGTCCTGGGTGGTCACTCCAGCACCTGCAGCATGGGGCAGAGAGGGCTTTGCTTAGAGGGGCAGAGACCCGGCTCAACCCCACCTCCCTGCCCACTTCCCAGTTTCTGAGTCCTGCCTGAACAGGGGACTTCCCACCCACACATTTCCAATTGCGATTTGCTTCATCTGCACACTTGGCAGCATCCCAAGCCTGGTCTGGATGTGCTTTACATTCCAGTATCGGTGCCCAGGATCTCTAAGGAATCCTGCATCCTGAACGTCTCACACAAAAGCTCCAGACAAACTTTTAGTACTGGAGAAGTGTGCCCCTTTCTCAGATCTGCATCGTCGCTGGAGGAAGCAATCCCAACCCATCCTTCCCCAGACGCAACCGTGTCCTGCAGTTCTGCATGCCTGCCCCGCACAGAGGGGCAGTGACCTCCTGCCTTCCCCAAAACAACTCTGCCCTGCAGTTAAGCACGACTGTATCGCACACACTGTCCCCATCCTCCCCGTGCCCACCACTGGCCTGTCCTGCCCCAGCAGCAGCCCTCCAGCCCTCAGCCCCCACACCCAGCAATGCCCCAACTCACAGAGCACCAGCAGCAGGACGGCAGGGCCAGAAGGAGACAGCCTTGCCCATGGTGCCTGCCCCAGCATCTTTTGGGGTACTCCTTTTGGGAGCAGCGTCTGCTTCAGGTGTCTGCTTTGCTGTGAGCTGGGGATGGTGGGACAGAGGCTTGCAGTGCAGCTGGGAGCTGTCCTGTGGGCTTGCTGTGGCCGCCTGAGCCTGGCCCACACTGAGCGTCTCTCATCAGTGACGGCCATGCCTCAGCCCCTGCTACATCCGCTGCTTTTGTTGAGGACCCGCTGTTATTTTTGTCCTCTCGCACACCGCAGCACGCTCTGTTTTTCTTTTTTCCTGTGTCTCAGGGGCAGCATCTTCCTTGCAAAGCCCTCCTGCCTTTTGTCCCCATGTTCTTTGCCTTCTTCTGACCAGGTCACTCCGCTTTTCTTCAATCTCCATACCAATAGTTGTGCCAGGGCATCCTGCACCAAGGTCAAAGTGACTTCAGAGCTCTGGGGCAGTTTCCAAGGCTGTGGGAAGATCTCTCCTTCATCCATTGATGAATGTTGGTGAATCATCCTATGAAGAACTCTCAGGGAGTCTCAGCTGGGGCCATAGTGCTGCCAGCACAGCACTGTGGGAGCCATCTGCACCCACTGGTCTTCAACTCTCTTGGGCATGACTGCCCATCACTCTTCTGTTTTCATTTGGAGGATCATGGGCTTCTAATCCTCAACAGCCCCGCTCCAGAAGTCCAGAGGATGACCTCAGCTTTCTCCTGGTCTTTCCTTGCAAAGGCTCCCGGCTAGGCCTTGTTCCCCGCCTACAGTGCAGCACCAGAGGCACAGCTGGGCCTGTATGCATGGGCCCAAGGGCTCCCAGCACACCTTTTGGACATCTACTTTATCACTTCCCACTTCACAGAATCACAGATATAGAATTTCTAGGTTAGAAGAGACCTCAAGATCATCGAGTCCAACCTCTGACCTACACTAACAGTCCCCACTAAACCATATCCCTAAGCTCTACATCTAAGCATCTTTTAAAGACTCAGGGATGGTGACTCCACCACTTCCCTGGGCAGCCTGTTCCAGTGTCTAACAACCCTTTGTAAAGAAGTTCTTCCTAAGATCCAACCTAAAACTCTCCTGGCACAACTTAAGCCCATTCCCCCTCGTCCTGTCACCAGGCACGTGGGAGAACAGACCAACCCCCACCTCACTACAGCCTCCTTTAAGGTATCTGTAGAGAGTGATAAGGTCGCCCCGAGCCTCCTTTTCTCCAGGCTGAACAAGCCCAGCTCCATCAGCCGCTCCTCGTAGGACTTGTTCTCCAGACCCTTCTCCAGCTTTTTGCCCTCCTCTGAACTCACTCGAGCACCTCGATGTCCTTCTTGTAGGCACAAAACTGAACACAGTACTTGAGGTGCGGCCTCACCAGAGCCGAGTACAGGGGGACGATCACCTCCCTAGCCCTGCTGGCCACACTGCTTCTTATGCAAGCCAGGATGCCTTTCCTTCTTGGCCACCTGAGCACACTGCTGGCTCATATTCCGACTATCAACCATCACTCCCAGGTCCTTCTGCCTGGCAGCTCTCCAACCACTCATTCCCAGCCGTAGCTCTGCTTGGGGTTATTTCGCCCCAGGTGCAGGACCCACTTGGCCTTATTGAACTTCATGCAGTTGACCTCAGCCCAGGTCCAGCCTATCCAGATCCTCCTGCAGAGCCTTCCTACCCTTGAGCAGATGACACATGCACTTAACTTGGTGTTTAAATTTGTGATTCTGTGATTCAGAATCAACCAACCCCTGTTGTTGGTGACGACAAGATCTAGCAGCACTCCACTCCTAGTTGGCACGTTCACCATTTCCATCAGGAAGTTATCATCAATGCACTGGAGGAACCAGTACTGGAGGAACTTCCTGGACTGTGGGTGACTGGCTGAGTAGGCCTGTCAGCAAATATCAGGGTAGTTGAAATCCTCCATTGATAACCTGGGCCTGTGATCAAGAGGCTGTTCTCAGATGCCTGTAGAAGGCCTCGTCAGTTTCCTCATCCTGGTCTAGTGGTCTGTAACAGACACGCACAACAGCATCCCCCATGCCAGCCTGCCCCTTAATTCTCACCCACAGACTCTCAACTCGCTCCTCATCTGCCCCTGGACAGTACTCAATACAATGGAGTTTCTCTCTCATGAGAAGAGCAGTTCTGCCACCTCACCTTGCTGGCCTTCCTGAGCAGGACATAGCCATCCATGACCACATTCCAGCCATGTGAGCTGTCCCACCATGTCTCTGTAACTGCCACCAGATCTCAGTCTTCTGACCAAACAGAGTTTTCCAACTTCTCCTCCTTATTCAACATGCTGAATGCATTTGTGTCCAGGCACTTCAGGGAAGGAGCTGAGCATGCTGATATTCACCCCATGAGGGGTGGGAGGCCTCCTGGTCTTCATGTCTGCGGGGGCACTGTCCCACCAGTACAAGCCCTGCTACAACCCCATTATCCTGCAGATATACATGTAGCTTGAAGCTCTCCAAATGAGGCCTGCTAATTGCTGTCACAAAACCCTCTGGACCCTGTGAGATAAACCTTTCCCAAGTATTCCTCTCAGGCCTGCTGTCTTATAACACCAGCCATTACCAAACAACCCAAAGTTGGGCCTGTAGCACCAGTCACGGAGCCAAGCATTTATGGACCAGATCCTTCTATTCTATACAATGTCACTACCCCAGAATGGATGGAGGGAAGAGAAAGGGACTTGTGCTCCAGACTCTTTCACCAACCGTCCCAAGGCCTTGAAAGCTTTCTTCATTCCCCTCAGACTAGAGGATGCAGCTTCCTCCACAGCTGTCTGCAATATTGTCAGCTGATGAGGTGATATCTCTCCTCAAGGCTCTGATAGACTGCAGACTTCCCTGGGAATGAAGGGGATGCTCCGTGTCCTCATGGCCAGTCCCCAGTCAGCTCGGGTGCTCTCCTTTCAGTGCTCCTTGGACCCTGGACGTAAAACTGTTCTCAGGTTTTGCCCTGTACCTGCAGTAGCAGCTCTGCTGAGACATGGGGCTCTGCAGTGCCCATGTAAAAAAATCAAGGGTTGGGGATATCAGTAGGCCCTGGCCTGTGCCACTACTGCTGCAAGCTCTCCGTCAAACTTTTACTACCCTATGTCTGTTGATTTACATGAGCTCAGTTGTTAATGATCACCCTGTGCTCAAGGAAGCAAGACATGAGCTCAGCATCTCCTCAGCATTTGGTATTGTCCCAGCAAAGAGCTCCATAAACTCACAGCATGTTCATGTCTCCCACAAGCAGCAGCCCCTCACACAAGGCCCAGCTCCCTTCCAGAGGTGAGACATTGCTCATCAGCCCTTCCCAGCACAGCCGTCCTCCAAGGCTTGCCTTGGCCACACTGTGTTCCTCGTCTCTCCCAGGGTCAGCCATGCCCCTGGAGGTCTGGATCCTGCGCTCTGCCCTCAGCCTGCTCCTGCTGCTGTCTGCCCCCATCATCACCCTCCTCCTGGAGAGATGCAGCCGCGGTGCCCGTGAGGCCAGGCAGCCTGGAGACGTCCCTGTCCCCATGGAGCTCTGATGTCCCTGGGCTCCATGCTGTCCCTGCTCCTGCTCAGAGCATGACCCCCACACATTTGTCAGACTCCTGCTGCTGTTGGGTTCAAGGCAGCTGTGGCAGCATGCCCAAGGGATGTGCTGCCACTGCTCTCCTTCTCTTGGCTCAGTGCCTTCCTTCGAGGAAGGGAATTGAGAGAGCAACGTGGGGGAGCTCAGGTGCCTTCAGGACGAAGCCTCTGCCTTTCCTGGTTGTTGTGTGGTCTCATGAGGGTCAAAGTGGTGGTGCAGATGGCTCCCACAGTGCTGTGCTGGCAGCAGTATGGCCCCAGCTGAGACTCCCTGAGAGTTCTTCATAAGCTGATTCACCAACAGGATGAAGGAGAAATCTGCCCACAGCCTTGGCAGCTGCCCCATCTCTGGCGTCACTTTGGCCTTGGTGCAGGATTCCCTGATGCCATCATTTGTCTAGACATTGAAGAGAAGCAGAGTGATGTGGTCAGACGAGGGCAAATCCTAGTGGGGACAAGGATCAGGAGCTCTTTACAGGGACAATGTTGCCGCTGAGATACAAGTAAAACTAGCGTGTGCTGCAGTGTGTGAGAGGACAGGAAAAACAGTGGGGGCTCAACAAAAGCAGCGGATGTAGCAGGTTCTTAGGCAAGGCCCCCACTGATGAGAGCCTCTGGCTGTGGGCCAGGCTCAGGTGGCCACAGAAAGCTAACAGCACAGCTCCCAGCTGAACCGCAAGCCTCTGCCCCACCGTCCCCGCTCAGAGCAAAGCAGAAACTTGAAGCAGACGCTGCTCCGCAAAAGCAAAAGATGCTGGGGCAGGCGCCATGGGCAAGGCTGTCTCCTTCTGGCTGTGCGATCCTGCTGTGGTGCTCTGTGAGTTGGGGCATTGCTGGGTGTGGGGGCTGAGGTTGGAGGGCTGCTCCTGGGGGTAGGACAGGACAGTGGTGGGCAGAGGAGAGGATGGGGACAGCGTGTGTGGGGCTGTGGTGCAGCAGTTTCGGACATCGTTGCTCTGGGGAAAGCAGGATGGGGATGGCTTCCTCCATGTATAATACACATTTGAGGAAGGGGCAGGCTTCTCCAGCACCATAAATTTTCTGGCGTGTTGTTCTGAGACTCTAGGACTGCTGAATTTTTTAAGGAGATATGGGATTTACCTGGAACAAGACATCCACCCAAAATGGGATTGGAATTCACATTGTTTGAGGGCATATTGAAGAGATAGAGCATGAGAACACGCAGATGTAATGATGCCTGCTTAGCAGTGAGGGTTTGGTCAGGGGGGATATGGGAGCAGGGAAATCAGGATGAGCCTGGACACTGCTCCTCTCAGCAAATCCCTCTCTGCCCCTTGGTACAGGTGGCAGCATGAGCTCCCAGGACATCTGCAGCTCCCCAGGTACTCGTGAGTCCTTCCCTCCCAGACCCAGGGCACTTGGAAGCCCAACCACTGTGAGCTCTGCCCTATGGCAGCCCTTCACTGCTGTGTCTCCTGCAGGGGATCTCCAAGCTCCTGCTCTCCAAATGAACTCAACTTCTGCTCAGCCAGGTACCAGAGTTGTGCTCCAGTGTATTCTCCCTGTGGTGTCACATGCAAGACGAATCATCTTCTGCAAGGATGGGACGGAGGAGTACAGCCAGAAAGCCCAGCAAGGGCAGCTGAGCTATTCCGTGGTCCTGAACATCACATCAGGAAGTGCAGGAAAATATACATGTGGGTACCAGGCGCTGAATGAGAAGAAACATATGAGTTCTGCCCTCAGTGCTTGCCAAATCCTGGATGTCCCTGGTGAGTCATGGCCCCGGGCTGGCGTGGTGAGAAGGGACAGAAGCACTTGCCACCACATGGTTGTGCTGAGAGTAGAGCTCTGTGCTGCAGCAGGCTCTGGGGTGGTTCCCTCATGGTTGTGTTCCCTGTCCTCAGAGGCAGCCATGAGAGAAAACTGCTCTCAAGGGATCCCCGTGTCCCTGCAGCACCACCTCTGCTGCAGACATGGGGCTGTGCAGGGCCCAGGCACAGGGAACAAGGGCTGGGGATGTGGATGAATGCTGGGTTGAGCCAGGGATGCTCCAAGGTCTGCCCTGTGCATTGATGAGCCTATGGCAGGGCAAGTGGGATGACTGTCATGAGCTCTGCAAGGACACAGCATTGAGGACATGGCAAGGACCCAGCAGCAGGGACGTGGGCACAAGCGTGTGGGTGCCCCAGCTCTCACTCCCTCTAAAAAAACCCTCTGTGACCCAAGGTGCAGGTGCTGGCGTGACCACCCAGGACATCGGCAGCTCCCCAGGTGAGGTTGAGCGTGGGGATGGGTGACTGAAGAGAGGTGTGTGTGGGGTGGTGATGGCAAGGGAGAGGGAATTTGTTCTCTGGGCGAGAGCTCCTGGGAAGAAATCATTTCCCTGCATGGAACACAAAACATTTTGTGTCCAGTTCTGGGATTCCCTGTTCAGGAGGGGCATAGAACTACTGGAGAGAGTCCAGAGGAAGGCTGCAAAGATGATCAGAGGTCTGGAGCCAAGAGAACTGAGCCTGTTTAGCCTGGAAAAAGGAGACTGAAGGGAGACCTCATCCATACCTATAAATATCTGAGGGAAGGGTGTTGAGAGCTGGTCTCTTTTCGGTTGTGCCCAGGGAAAGGGTGAGAGGCAACGGGCCCAAATGGGAGCGCAGAAAGTTCCATCTGAATATGAGGGGCATTTCTTTACTGGGAGGGTGACAGAGCACTGGAACAGGCTGCCCAGAGAGGTTGTGGAGTCTCCTCTGGAGATTTTCCAAATCCACCTGGATGCCATTCTGTGCAAGGTGCTCTAGGTGATCCTACTCAGCAGAAGGCTGGACTCCATGACTTTCAGAGGTCCCTTTCATCAATGGTCATTTTGTGATTGTGTGATCCTCTAGCCCCCAGAATCACAGATAGATGAGAGTGATGGTGCCATATTTAATCAACAGGCACACCTTGGCTAAGCTATACTTAACCACTCACGAGGGAATTTAGACAGCACATCCATGGGAGCCCATGTTGGCGCAACAGCTGCGGGCACTTTTATGTCTTCCTTGGGGATGGTGCTGGCTGTCGATGGGGGATGTGGCCATGGGGCTGACGCTCATTCTGGGAAGGATTTGTGTGCACTGTAGACATTAAGCCTGTCCTTTTGTCCTGCCAGGCAATGTGGTGAGCTCCCCAGCAAGTCCATCATCACCAGGTGAGTGATTCCCTCCTACACCCCCAGAAACCCGAGCATGGGGAGTGGACGTGCTCTGCAGCCTTCCCCAGGGCATGGGGACAAGCAGGAGCTTCACCAGGCAGGAGCTGTGCCAGCTGCACGGGCACGTCCTGCTCCCTGCCTCTCCCCATCACACCCCATTGCCCTCACACCCTCTGTCCCACAGCTCCACATAACTGGATCCCGCACGCCCTCCCCACAGGCATGGTGCTGGCAGTGGCGGCCGTCGGCCTCGTCCTCCTGGCTGCAGGCAGCTGGTTTGCCATCAGGAAAGGTGAGGGAGTGGGGGAATGTGGGGGGAAAGGCTGAGGCCATGGAGGTCCTGCTGGGGCTGGTGCAGTGGGAGGGGTGGGGGGAACCTGGGGTGTGCAGCTGGGGGAGACGGTGCCTGGGGGTGATGGCTGTGGGCAGCCCATCTGGGGAGGCTGCTGAGGGAGCTGGGGAGCTTCAGCCTTCGTCCCCCAGTCCTGAGATGAGAGCCAGGGTTGGGCAGCACCTTGGCCTGTGCACCTCAGCCCCTGTTCTTCTTGCAGGTGCCTGCAGAGGGAGATGCCCAAGGTGAGCACCAAGGGCTCCCTTCCTTTGGGGTATTGGGGAGGGAGTTGGGTGCATGGCGGGGCCCTGCAGTGCTTCTTGGATAGAGGCCGTGTTCTCCATGTGTGTGTGGCTGCATTCCCTGTGCTTGAGGCAGGGAGGATGGGGCTTGCTATTTGCTGCATTCCAGTTCACCACATGATATTGGGAAGCCCGACCCAAGTGCGTTTCTCATGTGACAACCTGACCACAAACACACACCCAACAACCATTCCATTCCTCTCCAGGCAGCAGCACGTTGACGGACCACAGATGGAAACCACAGACAACGGCGAAGTCACATGTGAGTACTACCTCCCTTGGCGGAAGCCATGCGCCCATCTCATGTGGAATCCCACCACTTCATTTCCCACTGGGATATACAAAATCCCTGCCTGTTCATCAAGGCCAGGTTTCTCTCCAGCACCTCATGTCCTGCTTCTTCCTCGCATGCAGAGCGCGGCTGCTGGCTGCACAAGGGACATGGCAGCATCCCAGTGCTCCCAGGGACAAAGCCCATTTGGGGGGTCCTTCCACACCAGCTCCACCCTCAGGCTGCATTTTCCCTGCTTCAGCCTCTGCTTTTGTCCTTTCTTCAGTTTCTCTTCAGTGTCATTTCTGCTTCAAGAACTACACAAAGCACATCACAGCAACGAAAGATGTGGCTCTGTTTCCTTGCCCTGCTGGGGAAAATATTTTAGATCTTGTTCTGAAACCACAGGCAGCTGCCAAGGGAGGATGTTGTGGTTGGTGACAGGCTACAGATATATACCTACCTGACGTGAACGTAGCTCGAGTTGCAGCTTGACCTTTTTTACCCACGCCTGCACAGCACATTTTGCAAGGTGTGCTGGCTGTGCAAAGAGAGGCGACGCCACAGAAAGCTGGAAATACACCAAAACCTCAGCATCTCTGCTCCACTGCTTCTTAATGCACATCGCAGACCAGGGTGATGGGAGGGGAAATGTGGTCAGGCGTTGAGAGCTGACCTCAGGCAGCTGATGCCCAAAGCTCACGGGGGTTCACCCCCCTCCAATCACCAAGGGCTCATGGTGTGTTTTTTCCCCACAGACTCCACCATTGCCCACGTTCGACGGGACAGGGTGAGTCGTGGCACAGCTGTGCACAGCTCCTTTCTGCACTCCTGCAGCCTGGTGCCTGCTCATTGTGCAGGGCTCACAGTCAGCAGCTGAAGTAACAGGGTTTCTTTTCCCCCTAAAGCCTCGTCCCATGCAGCACATGAGCGACACCACGACGTATGCCACAGTGAGCCGCACCCAGACCCGATAGCGCTGCCACAGGGCAAGGGCACAGGAGCCTTGTCCACAGCCGCCTTTGCTCTCCTGCAGAGTTCTTGTGCAGTCATATCATGGGGTTGAGGGTTGCACTTTGGGCATCTCTGGAATTTGCTGTCACAGGGAACGGCTGTGTTTGTCTAGCCAAGAGGATGAAGGACTCATATTTCTTTTTGCAATGAATTAATACCTCTAAAATATGTCAGGTGTACCAAGTAATATATGAGTGTATCAATGCTTTTTTTCATGTGAAACCATCTCCCTGTGCTCACTGGAAATTATGTATTCCTAAACTGCATGATAAAGTCACAGGGCTGCTCTTCCATGCACCCACACAGATGGACATTTGGACCTATAGGGACCTATAGGGACCGGTATCACTGCAGGGAGGTGCTTGCATGTGTCTGAGAATTGGCATGTGCGCTGGAGATGTCGTTTTGTTTAGAAGAAAAATAAAAATCTCTGGATGTCCATAAATCCACGGGTCACGATGGGATACTCAAGATGCTCATGCCAGGAGCTGAGGGAGTTGGAGGAAGTCATTGCTAGGCCATTATCCATTATCCGTGGTAAGTAATGGGCATCAGGAAAGTTGCCTGAGGACTGAAGGAAAGCAAATTTTACTCCAGTCTTCCAAAGGGGAAAGAAGGATGACCCAGGTAACTATAGACCAGTCAGCCTCACCTCCATCCCTGCAAAGCTGATGGAACAACTTAGCGTTGGCATTGTCTCCAGGCATATCAAGGATAAAAGTGTCATTAGGGGCAGTCAACATGGTTTCACCAAGGGGAAGTAATGCTTGACCGAACTGAGAGCCTTTTATGAGGATATAGGTGGGAGGATAGATGATATTAAAGCAGTGGATGTGGTCTATCTTGATTTCAGTAAAGCCTTTGACACCATCTCCCACAGCATCCTTGCAGCTAAACTGAAGAAGTGTGGTCAGGACGATCAGGTAGTGAGGTGGACTGTGATCTTTCTGAAGGGAAGAAGTCAGAGGGTTGTGGTCAATGGGGTGGATGCGAGTTGGAGGCCTGTATCTGGTGGAGTCCCTCAAGGGTCGGTACTGGGACCAGTACTATTCAATATATTCTTCAGTGACTTGGATGAGGGAATGGAGTGCACTGTCAGCAAGTTTGCTGATGACACTAAACTGGGTGGAGTGGCTGACATGCTGTGTACTCTGTGCATGGCTATGGTGCCATCCAGCGAGACCTAGACAGGATGGAGAATTGGGTGGGGAGAAATGTAATGAAATCACAGAATCACAGAATCGTCTAGGTTGGAAGAGACCTTCAAGATCATCGAGTCCAACCTCTGACCTAACACTAACAAGTCCTTCACTAAACCATATTTCTAAGCTCAATATCTAAACATCTTTTAAAAACCTCCAGGGATGGGGAGTGAAACACTTCCCTTGGCAGCCTGTTCCAATGCCTAACAACCCTTTCAGTAAAGAAGTTTTTCCTAACATCCAACCTAAACCTCCCTTGGCACAAATTTAGCCCATTCCTCCTCGTCTTGTCACCAGGCATGTGGGAGAATAGACCAATCCCCACCACTACAGCCTCCTTTAAGGTATCTAGAGAGAGTAATGAGGTCATGCCTGAGCCTCCTTTTCTCCAGGCTGAACTCTCTCGGGCACCTCCATGTCCTTCTTTTAGCGAGGGGCCCAAAACTGAATAGAGTACTCGAGGTGCGGCCACACCAGAGCCAAGTACAGGGGGACAATCACCTCCCTAGCCCTGCTGGCCCATCTGCTTCTTAGACAAGCCAGGAGGCTGTTGGCCTTCTTGGCCACCTGAGCACACTGCTGGCTCATATTCGGATGATTATCCTCCCAGGTCCTTCTCCGCCAGGCAGCTTTCAAACCACTCATCTCCCAGCCTGTAGCTCTGCTTGGGGTTGTTGTGTGCCAAGTGCAGGACCCGTCACTTCACCTTGTTGAACTTCATACAGTTGACCTCAGCCCAGCGCTCCAGCCTATGCAGATCCTCCTGCAGAGCCTTCCTACCCTTGAGCAGATAACTTTGTGTCATCTGCAAACTTGCTGAGGGTGCACTCAATCCCCTCATCCAGATCATCGATAAAGATATTAAAGAGGACTGGCCCCAGTACTGAGCCCTGGGGGATGCTACTAGTGACCGGCCTCCAACTGGATTTGACTCCATTCACCACAACTCTTTGGGCCCAGCTATCCATCCAGTTTCTAACCCAATGAAGCGTGCGCCAGTCCAAGCCAAGAGCAGCCAGTTTCTTGAGGAGAATGTTGTGGGGAATAGTGTCAAAAGCTTTACTGAAGTCAAGGTAGACCACATCCACAACCTTTCCCTCATCCACCCAGCACGTCACTTTGTCATAGAAGGAGATCAGGTTCCTCAAGCAGGACCTTCCTTTCATAAACCCATGCTGACTGGGCCTGATCGCCTGGTTGCACTGTAAGTGCCGTGTGATGACACTCAAGATAATCTGCTCCATGAACTTCCCTGGCACTGAGGTCAAACTAACAGGCCTATAGTTCACTGGGCCTACCCTCCAGCCCTTCTTGTAGATGGGCGTCACGTTTGCTAGCCGCCAGTCCACTGGGACCTACTCTGATAGCCAGGACTGCTGATAAATGATGGTAAGAGGCTTGGCCATCTCCTCCGCCAGTTCTCTCAGTACCCTCGGGTGGATCTCATCTGGCCCCATTGACTTGCGCACATCCAAGTGCCGTAGCAGGTCACCAACCTGTTCTTTGTGGATAGAGGGCCACATCCTGCTCCCCATCCCCTTCCACCAGCTCAGGGTACTGGGTATCCAGAGAACAACCGGTATTGCCACTAAAGACTGAGGCGAAGAAGGCATTAAGCACCTCCACCTTTTCCTCAGCTCTTGTAACTACGTTACCCCCCTCAGCCAGTAAATGCTGGAGATTCTCCTTAGTCCTCCTTTTTGTGTTGATGTATTTATAAAAACATTTTTTGTTATCTTTAACGGCAGTAGCCAGATTGAGCTCCAGATGAGCTTTGGCCTTTCTAATTTTGTTCCTGCACAGCCTCGCAACATCCTTATAGTCCTCCCTAGTGGCCTGCCCTCTTTTCCAAAGATTATAAACCCTCTTTTTTCTCCTAAGCTCAAGCCACAATTCTCTGTTCAGCCAGGCTGCTCTTCTTCTCCGCTGGCTCGTCTTTGGGCACATGGGGACAGACCGTTCCTGCACCATTAAGATTTCCCTCTTGAAGGGTGCCCAGCCTTCCTGGACTCCTCTGCCCTTCAGAACCGCCTCCCGAGGTACTCTACCAACCAGTGTCCTCAGCAGCTCAAAGTCAGCCCTCCGGAAGTCCAATACAGCGGTTTTACTGGTCCCCTTCCTGGCCTCGCCAAGAATAGAGAACTCCACCATTTTGTGGTCACTCTGCCCAAGACAGCTCCTGACAACCACATCCTTCACCAGTCCTTCTCTGTTTGTGAAGAGAAGGTCTAGTGGGGCGCCACCCCTGGTAGGCTCACTAACCAGCTGTGTCAGGAAGATATCTTCCACGCTCTCCAGAAACCTCCTAGACTGCTTTCTCTGGGCTGCGTTGTGCTTCCAGGATATGTCAGGGAAGTTGAAGTCCCCCACGTGAACAAGTGCTGACGATTTCGCAACTTCTGTCAGCTGCCTGTAGAACTCCTCATCCGTCTCTTCATCCTGGTTCGGCGGTCTATAACAGACCCCAAAGAGACTTCAAAGTGCTCTGTCACAGTACTCGATAGGGAGGGCTCAGAAGCTCACTACAACCTGCACTATACCTTCTCCAGAAACCCACAAGGCCTAGGATAACTTGTAGTTCTTTCTTGTTAGCTGGTGGGCACACAGTTGTTACCTCACTGACCTCACCCACTGGGGTATAGCAACATCCACCTTGCCATTTTACACCCAAGTTTCACATTTCCTGTGCAGGTCCCTTGACCTTACTCTGGTCAATGGCAAAACCAGTCTTCAGGAGAATTTAGATGATTTACATCCCTTTCTCAAGAATTCCTCTGCTTTGCTGCCCCATGTGAGGCTGCCATTATGCACTGCAGGTACTCAGGAACTTCGTCTTGTTCTACAGCCATCTGCATTACTCCATGGCAAATGGCAGGGCTGTGTTTGCACCCTTGGCACCGTCCATTGCAGGTGTACTGGATGTCCCTCCAAGGGAAAGCTAACCATGGCCTGCACTCTACAGCTGTATTGGGTTTACATGGCAAGGGTTTGGTAGCTGGTGTCTGCAGTGGTGGCCTTGTTGAGAAGCCCAGAAGCTACCCCCTATTTGAAAAGGGCCAGTGTCAGACACAAAAGGGACCCGCTGCAGGCCAAGACAAGCCAAAAATTGAAGTTGATTGTACCTCTGTGAGAGCATATTTAAGGAGGGAAGAAAACCTGCTGGACATCAACAGGTGGCAGAGGGAAGAATGAGAACCAGCCTTGCAGGCACCAAGGTCAGTGCAGCAGGAGGGCAGGAGGTGCTCCAGGCATGCAGCACAAGTTCCCCTGTGGCCTGTGGAGAGGCCCCTGGTGGAGCAGGCTGTCCCTCTGCACCCATGGGTCCCACATGGAGCAGATCTCCACTCTGCAGCCTCTGGTGGAGCCCCTGGTGGAGCAGGTGGCTGTGGCCCATGGAGAGGCCCCACAGGAGCAGGCCTCAGGCCGGAGCTGCAGCCCGTGGAGAGGAGCCCACACAGAACCAGGTGGTCTGGTGTCGTGTTAAGGGGTGTAGCTGATTAACCGTTATGGGTCCGGTCGGATTCATGGTACTGAACTATCCCAATCACAGATTCACCAATACCGCATTAACCATTAGGCGCCTGGTTGGATTCAGAGCACTGAACTACCATGGTCAGAATTCACCAAAAACATATAACCACCCTTACTCTAGTTGTGTTTAATGAGCACTATTGTAATAGTAACTTTTTATGCTCCTAGACTCCTACATATTCAATATTACTTCGAGAAAAGGCAGGGTTATTATAATTAGGTCCCGGAATCCGAACCCTCCTACTGGCGCATGCATATCAGTCTCTGGTGGTCCCTCTGTGGGTCTCTCGTGCTGAAGGCTTGTAGTCTTCCTCTCAGGCTTTTGTTCTTCTCCTTCTCCTTTGTCTGACTTGGCCGGATGTCAGAGACTTTTGCAGCGTCCCCTGCAAGCTTTGTCTTTGAGTCATCCTTCAGCTTTCCCCTTCTCCTTAATCTCTT